GCAGCATCTTCCTTACTCAAAAAGACCACTGCTCAAATCCATAGTACAAGAGGGATAAGCTTCATGTAGAGCCGCATTACAGATCACTCTGGATGTGGCGGACACTGCTACACAAGCCACTGCTGCAGGGGTTTCAATGAGAAGATCCTCATGGCTCTTACCGGCAGCAGTCCCAAAAGAACTCCAGAATAAAGTTGAGGACTTACCTTTCGACAAGCATAAACTTTTTGCTAGTAAGACGGATGAGGTCCTGCACACAGGCGAAAGCACTATTATACTTACCAATGAAGGTATAATTTCTCCTTCCACAGACAACATCCTCACACTCTGGAACATCAGCGATTCCGAAAGCATCCTCAGTGGAAACGACAACAGCCTGCCCCCTCCTCTAACCAGCCTTCTGCAAAACAGCTAATTTGACTGTTTAGTCGAGGATATGAACAAAGCTCCTATCTCACCACTTTTTCACCATTGTCTAAGGTCGTATTACCACCAGTGGGCCAGGGTTACCTCTGACAAGTGGGTGTTAGAAATCGTAGCTTCCGGTCTCACCATCCCTTTTGTTTCTATTCCCCCAACCACTCCACCCATCCCGTCCCTTTTCAGGGACCCCTCTCACAAGAACCTGTTGAGACAAGAGGTCCATCGCTTGCTCACCATCGGAGCTATAGAAAGAGTACCCAAGGAATTCCAGGGATAAGGATTTTATTCTCAATATTTCCTCACCCCCAAGAAGAATGGGGGATGGAGACCTATCTTGAACCTACAGAAACTAAACCGATACCTCAGAAAACAACGTTTCCAAATGATGACCCTAGCTACGATTATACCATCGCTGAACAAAGGTGATTGGTTTGCAGTCCTCGACTTACACGATGCTTACTTCCACATTGCAATAAATGTGGCGCACAGATGATTTCTTCGGTTCCTAGTAGCAGACGAACTTTTCCAGTACAAAGTACTTCTGTTTGGGTTAGCATGTGCTCCCAGAGTATTCTCCAAGACTTTGGCAGTAGTAGCTGCCCACCTGCGCAAAACAGGGGTAACGATTTTTCCTTACCTGGATGATTGCCTCCTCAGGGGTTGTACTTGTGCGGAGACACGTGAGTCGGTGATAACAACCCTAATGTTCGATTCCTTTGGGCTTGTTATAAATCTACAAAAATCATCGCTGCAACTGACCCAAAACCTGATTTTCATAGGCGCGCAACTCGATGCGAACACAGCTCGCGCATACTTACTGGTGGAACATTTCCAGTCAATTCGGGAGCTAATAGACACCGTGACACGTTCGCCAACAATTCCAGTACGCACCTGCTTACAGTTGATGGTCCACATGGCAGCTGCCACCGTTGTTGTTTGACACGTGAGGCTACATTTCCACTGTCTACAAAATTGGCTGGCCTCTGTTTACCTTTTGACGAAATACAGTATCCACAAATTGGTAGTGTTATTGCCACAAGTCAAAAGGTCTCTTCACTGGTGGACCGGACCACAAAATCTTCTCGGGGGTGTTCCCTTTCATCATCCCCAACTGTCAAAGCAAATAACTACCGATGCTTCCCGTACAGGATGGGGTGCCCACATGGAGGAACTAATAGTTCAAGGCTGATGGTCCAAAACAGATGTTACTGCATATCAACATACTCGAGCTCAGGACAGTACTTCGAGCGTGCACACATTTCAGATTCCACCTAAAAGGCACAACCACCAGAGTGCTCACAGAAATGTAGCGACCATGTATTACATCAACAGACAAGGCAGTGCCCACTCTAGATATCTTTGCGTACAGGCCATTCAGTTGTGGAATTGGTGTATCCTCAACGATACGTTCCTCATAGCGTTGTACTTACCTGGGGTCAACAACGTCATTGCAGATTACTAAGAAGACAATTTCCCCACGATCACGAATGGGAAATCCGCGCCGACGTTCTGTACCATATTTTCCATCATTGGGGTTTTCCATCGGTAGACCTGTTTGCAACACAAGACAATGCGAAGTGTCCGAACTATTGTTCCAGGGCTGGAATAGGTCGTCATTGTGGCAGCACTGGAGAAAGCCTTTGGGAGACGCCTTTCTCCTTCATTGGGGAGCATCTTTGCTTTTCGTCTTCCCTCCAGTTGTCCTCGTGCCCAGGATCATAGAAAAAATCACCATGGACATGGCTTGCATGATCCTCATAGCCCCGGCTTGGGCTGCTTCACCAGATGTCTTATCAAAACACCATACCGCCTCCCTGTGGCCCCGGATCTGCTAACTCAACAGAACGGTACTCTACGGCACCCGAGACCCAAAATCCTGCACCTGACTGCTTGGATGCTAAGTGGTTCACAGCATCCGAGAATCTCTGCTCAGATTGGGTCAAACGCGCTAATGTCCAGCTGGAAAGATTCTACTCGGACCACACATTTCGCCAAGTGGACTCGATTTCAGGCATGGTGTGCGGAAATGAATATCGAACCCCATACTTCACCATTACATAATATACTTGATTATATGCTATATTTGCAGCAAGCAGGTCTATCTATGGCCTCCTTACGAGTACATCTAGTGGCGATTACCACCTTTCACAGTCTGGTTGTTTTCTCAACCCATTACAAAATGATTTCTGAAGGGACTCATGAATCTTAATCCACCACGAAAGCCCCCATCACCTTCGTGGAATCTTGATCTAGTGCTAGATACTTTGACATGTCCTCCATTCAAACTGCTGGCGACGACTTCATTGTATTTGCGTACACTTAAGTTTCTCTTTTTACTAGCCCTGACGTCAACACATAGAGTGAATGAGCTTGCAGCTCTTGTGTCGTTACCGCCTTATACATTATTTACAAAGGACTCAGTGACGTTAAGATCTTACCCAGCATTCCTCCCCAAAGTATGCTCGGACTTTCATATCAATGAGCCCATTATTCTTCCTTGTTTTTGCCCCAGACCACATACTTGGCCACGGGAAGCAACTCTTCATAGCCTCGATGTACGCAGGGCTTTAGCTTTCTACATCGACAGAACACGAGAATTCCACAAAACGGACCACCTTATAGTATCACTGGTGGCCTGTTCCAAGGGTCAACCATTGCCCTCCCAACGTATTGCGAACTTAATAGTCACATGCATTACTACATGCTATTCTGTACTTAATAAGCCACTCCCATCTCAACCTAAAGCCCACTCCATGAGAGTAATGGCCACATCTACAGCTTTTATAAGAGGAGTCCCATTTAGTGACATTTACCGAGCAGCGACATGGTCCGCCAATGCTACTTTCATGAAGCACTATGCAATACTACGTCACTGGGCTTCAGACTCTTCGGTGGCAATGGCAGTACTCCCTCCTGTCCATAAACCTTAATTCCGGAGCGCATTTTTCTTGCTGGGGTACTGTTCCGAAGTCACGAGTGGAGTGCCCACGGGGACCACTTGAAGAAGAAGCGGAAGTTACTCACCTTCGTGCAGTAACGATGGTTCTTCAAGATGTGTCCCTGTGGGTGCTCCATGACCCGCCCTCCTCCCCGCTCCAGAATTTGAATTCTTATCATTATAGATACTCGGGCGGCTGAGAGGAATTGAGCGGGGCCGGTCCGCGCACAACAGATGAAAGGTGCAAACGGCGCGAGCCGCCGCTCACGCATGCGCGGTCCATCGGAGCACAGCTATGCAAATCTCCGATCCATGGCGCTGGGACGAGCCCAATACCATGAGTGGAGGACCCATGGGGACACCTCTCAAAGAACCATCGTTACCACACGAAGGTGAGTAACTTCCGCTTCCCCATTCTGGACATTGTGACCTAGCACGTGGGGTTAAAGCACTGCTTAGGTTTGGCCAGGTCTCTCAAGCATGACAGGGTTGCCTAGGCCAAGTCCTGTGATTTGAAGAAGGTATGACTGGCTTGTCCACATCAGGTTGAAATGGTCTGTTTCCTGGTCAACTGAGAGCTTTGAGTCACACTTACTAACTGAGAATACAGAGCAGCGTAGACACCCAAAACAGTGGTTGCAGACATTGTGCACTTCTTAATTGCGAGAGATGCTTCCCTTGGTAAGAGAACATCTGAGTTTGGTCTGTACTGAGCCTCAGCTAAGTCACTGCTGTTTTAGAACCAGGGAGAATGGGTAAGGAAGTGTCAAAGAAATTAAGATTGGGCTGGCAATATTAACTCAACTGCATTGTATATCCTGTGCATTGGATGGTATTCAGGAACATCCAAGCAGTTTTATTTATCTGGGGATGTGATAGAGAAATTTACCTCAGTAATATTGTCAGATCAGATTTAGCATTTGGCTTAATTCTTTCAATTGTAGCTTTCCATAAACTCTAATAATTATTTTAATTTCCTAGTTTTAAAAAGGAAAAAGGTGGGAGGGGGAGGAGAAGATGAAAAACTGAAGGAAATTTGCTCGCAAATACAAACCCTGCCCTGGTATCGCTGATAATCTTAAATTCTCTTAACCAACCAATTCATGCTTATCTCTGCATCTGTGAAGACTAATCTTCCCTTTATAGTATGATATGGATAAAATGGAGTGAGTGCAGATAAAATATCTGCATCTTCATTCCTTTTCTATAAATTTTGTATTAAAGTGCCAATTCATTGGGCCACAATCCCAGTCTATACCTATTTTCAGTCTTCTACCCCACTCCCACTTTGTGTTTTACTCTAGTTGGTATTGACTGCTTCCTTTGCTCGTTCCTGGGTTTTGCTTCCTACTGTGCAGGCCTCTACACTTCAGGTAGTCCCTCAATCAATAGTTACCCATCATTCTTCCTTCTCTCAACAAAACTCACTGTTGCAGACTCACCAGTTCTGGGAAGCATTGTAGATCTGTTTTTTGTTGCGTACCGCTGTGTATTGTACCTTCTTCTGAGTTTATACTATAGTTCTTCAGGGGAAGTACTCTTCTAGGTGACACACTTAAACGTTGTTGTGCACTCAGGTTGCTTAGCCCCTCCAGTTAAGCATTTAGCTAAATTAATATGTTCAACCCTCTCTTTTCAGTATGATGCTGTTCCAATCCAGCCGAGTGTGGTTATATGTTCCTGTCCATCCCCATCTATGGTGAGGAACCAAGCAGATTCTAGCAGTCCATCTGTCATTACCACCTGTGGCAGCAGACAGGGATCTAACATGGAGGGAACTGCAGCTGAATCAAGGTCTAGTTCAAACTCCCTTCAGCAACATTCAGGACAACAGCCTCCACAGCCTCGAAAAAAACGACCTGAAGACTTCAAATTTGGGAAAATACTGGGTGAAGGATCTTTCTCGACAGTGAGTAATACAGCTATTTTTTTCAGCTACTTTGGCATTGCAAGGCTAGTGCTAGATATGCTATATTGGGTCAACACAAACATAATAGTAATCATAAAAAGGTAGGAATGGAAGCAGTGTTCCCTGTAAGATGTGCGCTTATTTGGCCACTCAGGAAAGTTTCAAATGCCGCCCAGCTGATTAGCAGAGTGCCCACAGCTAGGCTTTTGTTTTTACAGATGGTACACGTTAGTACATACCTGCATTCATATAGAAAAATGTGCCTCACACATGATGGAAAAAATGCATACACGGATGGAAAAGATTAGAACAGGGCTACTCAACTTTGGAAGCCCTGGGGGCCACAATGATAGTCACAGTACATGACGAGGGTCACAACTTAAGTCTGGTTGCATATATATGCAAATGATAGCTTATTTCACACAATGCCACAGTGCTTCTGGCACCTCCTCTATGGGGGCTAGAAACGCCAACACCCTGTACCCGTCTGTTCCAGCCACTTGTGTCTTTCAATGCTCACTCCACCTGGGAGACACCTCGCCGTTGTGGAGTGTGAAGGCCATGTTCAAAGGATCCCACCCGCGGGCCACGTGTTGAGCCCTGCGTAAACCCAGACCTCACCACAGGCCACAAATAAATGGGCCGCGGGCCTCATGTGGCCCACGGGCCACATCTTGAGTAGCCCTGGATTAGAAGGAACATTGCATAGAAGGGATCTTAACATGTACACACTAGGGATGTAATAGTATAGTCGATTAACCGATAAGCAAAAGCTTATAGGTTAATGCTATAGACTACATGCAGTTTTCAGTAGGGATGTTAAAATGTTTTTAAGTAAAGTTACACACTGGTGGGGGGAAGGGTGCAGGTGGCTCCCCGGGAACTGGTGTGCGTGGCCAGCTCCCAACTCTTCCCCTCCCACTGTGCTGCTGCCTCTGATACAGGAGCTTTTAAGCTGGCTCCCCACATACATGGGTTCCCACTGTCCCCTCTCCCTCTCTCGTGATGCTGCCTTTGATACTATGAAGATTAACCGATAAACCCAGGCTCATAGGTTAACCATGTACTCGGATATGCTTTCACATCCCTAGTTTTCAGTGTGCAATAGAAAGTCATTAAATTTACACTTCAAGATATGGTGTTTATGCTGCATCCACTTTGTGCATCCATTCTTCAACTCACATAAAAAGCACCATTCTGCCATACAAACTTGAATTTTAAGTTTTCAGGAGACATTCTGTCCCAATGTGATTTTTTTTTAATTATTATTATTATTATTTATAGTGGCTTACACGTTAATGGCATCATAAGGTGGTTGAATTTCTTATGCTATTTTAAATATTTAAGATTACCTTAAAAGATTGTGGTCTGAAGGATTTGAATTTGGATTAGGTGTTTGTGTCATTGTAGAACTTCATGCATCTGAAAACATATGCCCTGGTAAGGATTTAGTTAAATTTCTTATTTTATTTTCCTCTTTTAAAACCAAGTGTACATACACAAGAAAAGAATTGTTGCATAGATACCAAAATCTGGAAATTGTTATGTCAGAGTTAGTTAATTTGTCATGATTACACACAACAATTTGTTTCTTGATTTAAATGAACAGCTTAGTATATTACTGACATTTCTAGCAAAATGTATAGGAAGTGTAAAGTGACAGAATTATTGTTTCAGTTGGGACATTAGCTTTGTAACATTTTTTTCCTGTGACTTTAACAAAGCAACAAGTTGCATTACTATAGATCTAATATTATTATAAGAGTCAGTTTGGCAAGACAGGAGCTGAAGTATTTTGATTTATGGCAATGTGTTGGCTTTTCTCAAAGTTATCATAAACATGTCATATTTTGTTATCAAGGTGGAATTGGTTACCATGTGGAGATTGAAAGTTCAGTGTAAATGCCCAATTCTACAAGCATTTACACATGTGAGATTTAGGGTTGCAAAGGGTTAATTGGTAAGCACTGCCTTACCATAGTGCTTACCAGGGTAACCAGTTAACCAGCATCTGACCACTCTGGAGCAGCCCCAGCTCAAAAAACCTGATGTGTGAACAAGCATGGTATGATAGAAAATAATTGGGTGTAGATTATGTGAGAACTAGGCTTAGATGATAATCCTCCTAATGCATTATTAGAAAACTAATATGAAAACTACTTGCTGGAACCTTCTATCTAGATAACATGATGTAGCAGAGAAATTCTTGCTTGTATTCAGACAAGGAGACACTGTGCATTCTAGGTGTTGTGTTCTGTGTGTGTATCTGATCAAAACTCCTCCCCTCTTATGAAACTTCTTATTACATACAAACTATAAATTCACTTGTATTCCACTAACACATCCCTTCTCAAACTTTTTTTCTCTTCAGACATATAGAACCATTGTCTTGAAAGCCTCTGCCACCTACGCACACACACCCTTTGCCTCTGCTATATGGAACTCTTCCACTCTTCATCAGTGAACTGTTTTATCTTGTCAAATTGTAGGCAATACTGAAAGCCTTTCTTTTGCTTCTAATCTTATAGATAAATTTGATTAAAGTGCTCAGGAACACCATGCAGGACATGGAAAGGTATTATGGCAGTCTTTTTTTTTTAAAGCATATTTCTAGCCTCTTATTAAAAAAAACTTGCCTAAAAGTAATTGTTGCCAAATAAACGCACAACAGAGATGAATGTCATCTTGTAGAAAGATCATCAATGATTTAGCTTAGCACATTATGTTGTAACTCATGATTTCCTGAAGAGCAGGACAAAATCTAGCTTATTGATTATCTAGTGCTGTTATAGGCTCTGGTTCAGCAAAACACTTAAGCATGTACTGAGTTTTATTTATATTGACTTCATTGGACTCAAGAACATGCTTAATTGATTTGCTAATTTGGGGCCATGATGTAGAATGTATATGGCAAGGGGTACATTAAACATCTCTTGGCATAGGGACTGAAGTTAGTATAGAAGTCAAACTCTGACTGGGGATGAAGATCGAGCTGGCATTCTTGTAAATATCTTTGTTTTTAGTGAACCAGTTACATTGTGGATTTTCCCCCTAAACCAGGTTGTCCTGGCCCGAGAATTGGCAACTTCCAGAGAATATGCCAGTAAGTAATGATTCCTTCAAGCTTAAATGTTTTAGGCATAACATTGAAATAAGTATCTTCAACTATATTCACATAAATTATTCTGTCATCTCCTTCCCTTCTAATGATGGGAGGGAGAAAGTAGGAGCAATTGTTAATCAGGGAAGTTTAACATTTTAAAAAATGTCAGTGTTCTCTAGCCAATGAATTTGCAAAACTACTTAGTTAATAACATACCTTGTTTGGGCTAAAGTCCTCTGCGTGTTCATTGTTCTTCTTCTTCAAGTTAAAATTCTAGAAAAACGTCATATCATAAAAGAAAATAAGGTACCCTATGTGACCAGAGAGAGAGATGTAATGTCCCGTCTGGATCACCCTTTTTTTGTGAAACTCTACTTCACATTTCAGGATGATGAAAAGCTGTGTATCCTTTGAATTAAATATTTATTACGATGTGTTGAAAGTAGTAAGTGTATTATTTCATTAAAACATATAGATCTTTACTGGAATAATAAAACTATGGAAAAAAAGTGGGCAGCACTTTCTTTGGTGTGATAAACTCTTTTTAGTATCTAATCATTATTGAAATAGCTATTTGAATTCCTGAGTTTATATTAAACTACAAACATGTCAGGTATTTTCAAACAAGAGATCATAAGTTTACATAACACTATTTATACATGCCAGTTTAAATAAACATAGGAATATAGCCTACACCGAAAATTTCATGTCCCTTTACATTAACACCATATGGCAGAAACTGTGTATTTTTTTAAAAACTATTTCTGTAATCACTTTATGTAAGTACTACCACTTTGTGTTCTGCAAAACTATAAGAATGCAGAACAGAAGTAACAAATGTAAGATCTCAACTTTGTTGGCTGAAAAGTGGACCCTGAGGCTCCATCCCCTGCTCTGCCACTTCGCCCTGAGGCCCAACAGCCCACCTGTTGTTGCTGGATGATTTCCATCTCACTGTACCCCACCAGGCCTGGAACCGGGACGGGAGCTGCTGCAACCTGATGTGGAGCTGTGTCGGGGCAGGTGTGAATTGATGACACTCCTCCCCTGCATTCATTGGAGTTTTAGTGTTTGGTCAGTACATCTGGACACTTCTAGGTCTCCTTTTCAGCCAGCATTTCCAGTCAAAAATCAGGCACCTGTCTAGTCTAAACAAGTGTTATATCCTGAAATCTAGCCTCATTAATGCTGTAACATAAATTTAAAAAAAAACCTGAATGTACCTCTACTTTATGAGAAATGTACAGGGAAAACTTGGTATTAACCATTTTGCCTGTGTGAAATTTAATAGCAGAAAAGACTGTTTTTAAATTGGATTGCTTAAAATTTATTTTCTTACAATCTTACTTTTGATGCAGGAGGTAATATAAAAGTTTTGGCCCTGTTCCTTCCTTATATTTATTGTGTCCATTAAATAATCAGAGCTGTTAAGCGTCTCATTTAACATGGCTTCTATAATAATCTAATGGCTAAGGCACTGAAGAGTTTCTGGGTTGGCTTTTTAGTAACAGTTCTTAGTTACTATGCAAGAAATCTGATTAGTTACTGGTTACAATGTAAAGAGAGGATTCTCAATATCCCAACGGGAATATTTAATCTTTATTCCCAGGACATTTCTCTCCAGCCATTCTAAAAAGTTTATTTCAAGTTAATGTTATGTTTGTAAGTGTGTTCTCTTAAAAGCTCAGGCGTCTGAGATCCCCTTTTTATCCATAGAATGGTTAACAATACCTTGCCTCAGACTAGGGAAAACTTCTGTTCTGTAGTGATTCTTCATAGGGATGAAAGGATAGATGTAGTCTCCTAGGGCTCATTCAGTCCTTCATGATATACAGGCAGTCCCCGAGTTACGCAGATCCGACTTATGTCGGATCCGCAGTTACGAACGGGGTTTGCTGCCCGTCTCCCTGGTCTGCAGGAGACCAGCAGACCAGGGAGACGGGAAGCAAAGCCTCTGAGGACGCCGGCAGGGGATAGCCGCGGCGCGTCTGGGCTGTCCGCTGCCCGCGTGCTCCGCGGCTTTGCTCCACGTCTCCCCAGACCAGGGAGACGGGGAGCAAAGCCAGGGAGCACGCGGGCAGCAGACAGCCCAGACGTGCCGCGGCTGTCCCGCTGCCCGCATGCTCCGCGGCCTTGCTCCCCGTCTCCCCG